GAGGTGGGAAAAGGGGTGTCTGGATGAGGAAGGCCCCCAAGGATAGGGGAGGCTCAGGGACCTAAGGACCCTCTGAGGGGGACACTTTCTTCTCCACGGTGCTCCCTTCGTATGAGACCTGGCAGCTAACGCTGCTGTAAGATTTCCACTGGGCAGGGGTCAGCGTCAGGTAGCTGCTGGCCGTGTACTTGTTGTTGCTCTATTTCGAGGGCTTGGTGGTCTGGATGCCCTGGGTGATGGTGACGTCATTTCCCTTCCAGCTCACCATCAAGTCGCTGGCGTAGAAGTCACTGATGAGACACACCACTGTGGCCTTCTTGGTGCTGAGCTCCTCAGAGGAGGGTGGGAACAGAGTGACTGAGGGTGCAGACTTGGGCTGACCTGTGGGTTAGGAGATAGACAGGTGGCCATTGGCTCAGTGTCCTTAGTGAGAACTTCTGACCTCAGTTTGTGAGGTGGGCATGGGGTCTCCAGGCCCATGTCAGGGCCCCTACTTCAGAGACCACTGTGAGTCCAAGGGTCCATGCTGGGGGGGTGGGTCAGGTGTCCTCGAACATCTCCTCGTCTGTGCTGGAAAGCCCTGAGCCTGGACATCTGTCGTCACCTGTCCCGAGACCCCCTGAGGCTCTGACTTCCCACACAGAAGTCTGACCCTCATCCTCCTTCCCTTTCTCCTCCTGACATTTGATGGGTCTGCCTGGGACTGACTGCCTGTCTGTCCCCCGACAGGATTACGTGAGCTCTCTGACCTCTGCGGGGTCACTCTGGGGACAGTTCTCACCTGACATATCTGCTCTGGACATTTCTGGGCCTTTGCCCTAAGGGGATCTGTTTTTATCCAAATCTGTCTCTTCTGGACCCTCTCACGGGGTAGGATCTTTGCTACTCATAGAGTCTGTCTCCTGTCCTTGGGTCTCTCTTGTTCCCCCCTGGCAAATTGGACCTATCACTGGGGATTTCATGCCATAGGTTCTGTCTTTCTTCATGCAAGGAAGTGTGTCCTGCAGAGACCCAGAAGTCCACCATCCCTTCTGCCCTGTCCTGCCATTCTCCTTAGCCTATCTCTTGGCAGCCAGCACCTCACCCCCCTCCATCCTCCCTCCAGCAGGGTTCCCTGAGTCCCAGGCCAGCTCAGGGCTCTGTCCATGGTGGCCCCCCCAAGGCCTGGAGGAACCCCTTTACCTCTTGCAACAGTCCTGCTCCTGAATCCTGAGTCCCACAGCCCCAAAGACCTTCCCTGAACCTCTGACCTGTGTGTCCCCAGCTAGGGACCTGAGGGTTCAGGTCCCTCTAAAGTCTCCCTGTGGTCACCCCCTCAGTAGCCTTGTTCCCACTTCCCCTTGAGCCAGGGGTTCCTAGTGACCCCCAGAGACAAAGTTGGTCCAACAGGAGCCCAGAGAGGGGAGGACAGAACAGAGCACATCTTGGGAGCCAGCACGACCCTGGCAGACAGACAGACAAGTCTCTATATGTCATCCTGCCCATTCTCCTGCCTCTGGGGTCAGAGAAGAAGGGCTGTTGGTGACCAGCTGAGGCAAGTATGAGGAAGAGGAAGGGTCCCAGGGCCTGGGATCCTGGGTGAAAGATTGACTGTAGCCTTAGAGAAGACACAGAGATGAGCAAAAACAGTGGAAAACTGCCTAAACTTTGAGGAGAGCAGGGAACTGGGGGGAGGAAGAGACTCACCTAGGACGGTCAGATGGGTACCTCCAGTGAACTATGAACACTGTGACACAGGCTCATACAAAAACCCCTCCCTGGGAGGCCCCTGCCCCACCTCCTAGCCCCCTATCTGCAGCTGCGTTGGAGGAAGTCAGGCCCAGTGCCCCAGGCTGGCATCTGCTCAGCAGGGGGGCCAATCGGTCCCCCCCCACCCCCTGCCAGCAGATAACAGTGCAGCTGACCCCAAGCAACAGGATCCTTGGAAGCAATTCTCCAAAAGGAAGTTGGTGTCTAGTCTGCTGCTCTTACTCACAGTGCCCTGGGAACTGGAATGCATTTGTGGAGGGCATTTGTGTACTATGAGTGAGGTTCCAGGAAATGGACAGGACATCTCTTCTATGGATGTTGAGATGATCCTAATTCCTTGATGTGACTCCTACCCCTGCACCCCACCTTCCAAGGAGAGGCAGAGTGGCCTGCGTTCAGTGGCCACTGGAAACTTCCTATGTGCACAATCATAACTTCAGTGGCTCAGCCTCATCTTCCCGGGGGGTATCCTAATCTGGGGCTGTCCTGCGTGAAGTCTGGGCTGGTCCTATAGGAAATGCCAGCGTAACCTCCAGGGTGACCTTGGGAGCATCTCTGCCGCTCCTCAATCTGGTCTTATGTTGGGGAGGGTCTGCTGGTGGGATTGCTGCTCTGCCTCATCCAAAGGGCGACATGAGTAACATCCTGACCATGACCCTAAATCCCACCTGCCACTAAGAGGAACCAGAATTAAGGGCCAATTTCAGCCCTGGGGCAGGAACTGCACAAGATGAGCTCGAACATGTCACTCAGAAAGCAGGAGCCATAGAGGTCCCTGCGAGCACATCAGGGCCCCCAGGAGCCACGTGAAGAGGCTCCCAGCAGATCAATGTGCATCACTGGCAGCCTCACTGCCATCATCAGCAGAGGATAACGCAGTGAATTCACACAAGCAGATTCGTTCACATCCCAGAGTCACCACGACACTAAACAGTGATTCTTCACCGTGGGAGGATGGCAGGGTCCAGATCACCATCCTGTAAAGCGGTGAACAATGGGAAGAGTCTCCATTTCTTCCTTTAAACTTAGATATGCAAGACACATGGGGTGATTAAGGAGCAGCTGAGGGCAGACCCTCCATGGACACAGCGCAGCCCTCACCAGGGAAGGGGCACAGACCTGAAGTATCACCACGTTGCATTCCTTCACATTTGATGGACCATCCAAGCAGCTAATGCCACTCAAAGGAGGTTGACTGAACAGGAGTCCTGTGACGCAAAGTAGCCAAGTGTCCTGGGAGGCAATTCTGCCAAATCCCACCTGAACCTTGTGAAGCCTGATGCCAGAAGCACTTTGCAGGAACACACAGCAGAGAGAGCCGCTCAGTTACAGCTCAGGGAGGCCTGGAGCTGCGTCCTGACCCTGGGAGATCCCTGGACCATCAGCTCAGCCTCTGCAGCCACTTCCTTGCAAGGAAATCAAGAGGGATTTGGGAGTTATGACAGACCCAACAGGCCTAAAGACACATGGACCAATCGCAATGTCAAACCTCATTCAATCCTCATATAAATCAACTGAAAACCCCCAAATAACGAGAGCTCCTAAAATACAGCCAAGTAAATACACTTACAACATCTATGAGGCATCTGATGACCAACTCTTTTCAGATGTTAATGATTTACTCATAATTTCTGCTTAGGTTGGATAATGAAATTTTAGTTACTTTTTAGGTCTTTATTTTCTGGTAAACAACTAAAATATTTACAGATGAAAAGATATCTAGAATCTCTGTCAAACTATTGCATGGAGGAGGAGTTATTCTGTTGTGAGTGGGTCAGCATCATCAGTGAATTGATTTTTTTAGGACCTGGTTGCTAGGAACATGGGGGTATTATTTCCCTGTCTCTTTATTTTTGTTTTCATTTTTCCTTAATAAAAACTCACAAGAAAATAAAAAGGAGATGAATGTGGGGGCAGCACCAGGGGCGGGAGGATCCTGGCCATCTCCCAGCAGGGCCACTGAGATGAGGGAGACTTGGGTGGTCCTCTCTCCCATTTGGACCTCAGCATTCGGATCCATGAAATGGGGTCAGGGAGATGCTGTGGGACACTAGGACCCCCTAACTTCCTCCCCCTTCTTAGGCTTTGATTTGGGGCAGAGGTGGATGAGATTAAGCTCCAAAGGGGTCCCTGTCCTCTGCCACATTGTGGCCCAGAGCTCCCTGTGGCCCCAGAGGATCTGGGGGCGCTGAGTCGCTGTGGAAGTCAGACCTGCTGTAGCCCCCAGGCCACACTCACCCTGCCCTGAACTAGTCTGACTTGCCCTCACTCTAATGCTGAATTCCAGCTGGTACTCTCTCTCAGATATGACTGGATGCCTTTCCTGTGCCCATACAGTGCCCTTTCTCACTGAGCCAGGTCTCCTCGGTCCTCCTCCAGCCAGCTGGCATCACCTGCTCCATCCCTAAGACACCCTAACCTAACTCTGACCCCACTTCAGAGGTTGAGACTCCCCACGGTTGAGGTCCCAGCCCCCTCCTGGGTCCCCTTGCCCTGACTGTGACTCAGACCCTTCAGAACACAAACTGAGCTTCCTTGTGCCTCGGCCTCAACCCATTTCCAAGCACCAGTGACCACTACTGTGAGCACTACTGACTTGAAGAGTGTTCCAGGGCCCCCTAAGTTGGTAGGAGAATCCAAAAGGTTGGGGAATTGTCAACCTATGTGATATTACACTGTGTCTCTGCTGCAGGACTTGTCAGTGTCTTCACATAGCCAACGTGCATTGTGAAACTTTGAGAAATGTACTCATGTGATGCATTGTTCAAACCTTTCCACGGCTCCTTGATGATAAGCCACCCAGAAACCCCTCATCTGGTAATTGCTCTCCCACTGGGTCCCTTGATGGAACAGGGAAATTTAACCTCTGTTCCTAAAGAGCAGGGTCTCACTGAGGGGTCTCCTTCCCCTATATTGCTGCCTCTAGCCCACTGCTGCCCTCTTGAGACCCTCCTCATTTCTCCCTGGTCCCCCTCAGGGCCGTCCGCTTCCCCTCTCACTTGGCCCTGCTCCCTTCCCAGAGGGGCAATGACTGCATCCCAGAGGCTGGCACCAAGGACAACTTCCTGCTCTGGGGCATGACTCCCACTGCCACACAGAGCTCACCTGGTCTCTGGGGTGTTGAGTGGGGAATGATGGGAAACAAGATCTTACTTCTTAACTGTCCCTGCTTTTTATGGTTGATTCTTATACTCAGAATCTTATACTCAGAATCTTATACACAGCCAGACATAGAATGCACATCAGAGACGTCAGATGATAAATGATTAGGTCTTTATTGAGGAGGGTGTGAGACCTGCCTGGGCTGAGTTGATGCTGGGTGGGGTCTCAGGGGTACAGTGGAGAGCTGGGAAGGGGTGTCTGGGTGGGGAAGGCCCTTCCTGATTGTCCTGGGGGGGTCCCATGAGTGGCGGGGCTCAGGGACCTAAGAACACTCTGAGGGGGACAGTTTCTTCTCCACGGTTTTCCCTTGGTGCGTGACCTGGCAGCTGACGCTGCTGTACGATTTCCACTGGGCGGGGGTCAGCGTCAGGTAGCTGCTAGCCGCGTACTTGCCATTGCTCTGTTTCGAGGGCTTGGTGGTCTGGACGCCCTGGCTGATGGCGGCGCCATTTCCCTTCCAGCTCACCGTCAAGTCGCTGGGGGAGAAGTCACTGATGAGACACACCACTGTGGCCTTGTTGGTGCTGAGCTCCTCAGAGGAGGGCGGGAAGAGAGAGACCGAGGGTGCAGACGGGGGACCACCTGTGTGGACAGAGGAGGGGCTGTGAGATGCAGCAGAAGAGTCGGGGTGATGGGCGGTACCCCCGCTCTACAGAGTCATGACTTTTCCCATGGTGGCTGTGCCTGTTCACCCAGGGGACCCTCCTTTCTTTCCTTCCTTCCCTTTCCACTCAGCCCCTGACAGCACACAGCCCCCTGCCCTCCCAGAAGCCCTTCCAAGTCCCCTCTCCCAGGGGACCTGGTCACGCGCTCCATCTGCAGCCTAGGTCTCCCCACGTGTAAGCAGGGCAGGCTGTCCTCCCTCCTCCTGGTCTGGAGTCTGAGTCTGGAACCCGGCCCCAACCTCCTGAGCTCTCAGCCCAGCACCAGGCCCACCTCTCTCATTCTTCTGGAGCCCGGGCGGCTCCTCTGTGAACTGGGCTCTCCACGCAGCCTGCCAGGACAATCCTGACAGCCTGTGAGCAGGTCCCAGCCTGAGCCTGGCGCACAGTGGGGCCTGGAGCCTCCTCTCCCCTCGGGTGCTCGGCTCTGCCTCAGCCGGGCCTCAGCTCTCCCAGCAAGGGCTGGGTCCTCCCAGCCAAAGCCCCAGGGCTCCTCCGCGGCTCTACCGCTGTCCCTGTCCCTAGGGCCATGACTGCAGGCCCCTTCAACTGGCTGAGTCCTTGGGGCCGCTTCCTCCAAAGGACAGGCATAGTAGCCCCCACAGCCACCCAGCACCTCTGAGGTCTCCTGATTTTACGAGGCAGCCACATAGCTCTGAGCCCCCCATTTACTCCCCTATTTGTCATCTCCTGAGTCCACCGTTCCTTCTGAGGGAGGTGCGAGTCTGACCCTTGGACAGGTGAGACCCTGAGGCCTGGGTTATGGGGACCCAGGGTCAGATAAGCCTCTGCCCCATGGGGCTCACTCCATTTTCACCACCATCCTGGGAGCACCAGGCTTCCAGTCCCCTCGCCTGTCTCACCCATGGCTCTGTGTCCCTGTGTCCTCATGGCCCAGCAGAGGCCCTGAGAGTTTCAGCCTAGAGGGACCTGGACCTCTGTCTCTGCCCTCCCCTTGGGCTGCCCCTCTGTGACCCTGGAGACTAGAGTCCCAGACTTGTTCCCAGCCTCCTGAGTGGCCTTCCCACCCTGGATGGGCATCGAGCCCTCAGCCCAGACCCTGGGATTCAGGGACTGTCTCCAAGGCTGCCCCAGTGCCCCTTATCAGAATCAGCCTCTGGTGGCTGCCCTAGAAGAGGGAAGAGGCCCCCATTCCTGGGCCAAACCCCCAGCCCAGGCCCCGGGGATCCACTGCATCTGACTGTCAGACTCCGGAGGTGGCTGCTCCCGCCGTTGGAGTCCTTCTTGTCGGTTACCCCAAGACTAACCCGCCTCCCTCAAGCCCCACGGAGAAAGTTGGGGGTCAATCCCAAAGGCTGGGAGAGCAGAGGAGAAGCGGCCCCCAGACAAAGAAAAATGACTTTCCCAAGACAACAGAGGGTTGGGACAGGTTGGGAAAGGTGGTGAAGCCACTTACCCAGGACGCTGAGGTGGGTCCCGCTGCCGAAGATATACCACGGTGACTGAGTCTCAGACCAAAACCCGCCAGGCCAGCACCTGGGGCCTGCTCCTCTGGGGCTGGGCTGAAGCCGGAACCTGCTGGGCGTGACGGGCACAGGGCTGCAGTGGGCGGGGCTTCATCCTGGGGCCAGCAGGTGGGCAGCCGACCCCCTAGAGGCTGGGACACCCCTGGGTGGGCTCATGGCCCTGAGACAACTCCATGCTCAGCCCCCTGTCTGAGGCAAGTGCCAGCCACGACTTGGAGTCACCCAGTGTGTGTCCTCCTTTTCCAAGGCCATCCTGGTCACTATGGAATCCTTAGTGCTTATGGTGATGCTGCAGACAACAGGTGCTCAGCAAATCCTTGAGTGCTTTGTCCCCTCAGGTGGTGTGGCAGAGTGAGTCCTGAGCTGTCTCAGATCTGCCTGACCTCTGCTGGCCTCATTTTAGGGCCTCTGAGTGTTCCTCCCCCACAATTTCCCACGGTCCAGCCAGGTGGGCTTCCTCCTTGGGCCCATGGATACCGAGTTATTCCTGACTCACAGTGCTTCCACATGGAGACCCCTCTTCCTCTGTCTCCAGACATGGAGACACAATTTAATTCTACCTCTTTCATGAAGCCTTCTCTGATCTCTCAGATCGCCATCTTTCTGTCTATCCATCAATCCAGCCAGCCAGCCATCATCTATCCAGTCAACCATCTATCCATCATCCATCATCTGTCGATCCATCCGTCCATCTGTTATCTACCTATCCATCCATCCATCCATCTATTCATCACCTATCCATCCAGCCATCACCCGTCCATGCATCGAACAATGGCTCCCAAGCACCTATCTGTGCCAGACACTGTTTCACATGCTGGGACGTGGAGTGGGCCCCTCTAGCTCTCACCTCCAACTTTCTCTGAAACCTCTCAGATCAAGGCCAACAAAGTCCTCATCCTTGTCAAGGTTGAGGTCCCTCCTGACATCTCTGCAAGAGGCCCGTCTTTCTGGTGACTGTCCTCCCCTGGACGCCTGAGGTCGCCCACTGCCCCCTCCCCTGCATGGCTGTTGAACCCCAGACTGCCTCCCGAATCCTGCTCTTCCTGTACTCTGCCACTATTTCTGCCTTTGACCCACACCGTGCACTCCAATGACTGCCCAGGGCCTCCCATCCCTATTTCCAGCCATGACCTCTCTTTTTGGCTCTAGATCCACATACATTCTGCCTCCTAAACACAGCTCTGCTTAACTGCTTTATAGGCACCTCAGACTCAACACGGCCCATTGAAACACCTCACATCTCCTTGCAAACTTGCTCTCCTGCATTGTCCCCACTGCAGCAGGACTCTCTCCAAGCCAGAGGCCTGGAGTCATCCCAGAATGCTTTCCTCTCATGGAATAGCCCTCTGTGTCCTAGACATCCTAGCATAACACAAAAATATCATCAAAATACTTAGAAAAAGAAACACCCAAGTCGCACTCTAAGAGTTTATGATGGCAAGAATCCCTGGGCTTTGCCAAATCTGATTTTACCCCCACGTAGGGTTTATCGAAACTGGAAGATAACCCATTGCACTGGGGCCAGCATTTCTCACCTCAGCAGCAGGACTGGTCAGGGTTGTATTGAAAATGTGCACATAAGATTTTTGAAACAAAATTTAATATAATACTAATATAAATTCAACGCTTGTTTCTGATTTAAAGAAAGCAAACATTCAGTCTTTTCTTAAGTTAATTATCTAAGGAAACTTCCTCAATTCCAAAAAGAGTATCTCCCAAAACTTATAGCACTTTCCCTTTGAAAGGCAAAACCCTCTGAAAGGCCAGGTTGTCCACTCTCACTTTTATCAGTCAACAAAGCCTATGGATTCTAGCCAATAAAACGAGATGAAGGAAAAAGCTATAGGTACCAGGAAAAAAAGAGAGAGAACTGTTCTCGGCAGACTATGTGACAATCTACTTTAAAAACCCCAAGACAATCAGCTAATCAGAACTAATAGAAGAGTTAAATAAAGTGACTGAATACAAGACAGACACACAAAATTCAATTGGCTACCCTTCTACACAAGCAGTGACCATTTAGGACATGAAATTGGGGGAAAATTTACAACTTCACTAAAAATTATGTTAAAAACCTTGGGAATAAACTTAACACAAAATATGCAAGATTTGCCTGAATAAAATAGAAAGCAACTTGACTAACGGACATGATAAAAAAGTGAGTGACTGAGGAGAAGATCATGTTCCCAGATAAAAATGATGAGCACTGTAAAGATGTCAATTCTTCTCAAATTAATCGATATAGTCTATGAAATCACAAACACAACACCAAAAAAATGAATTTTGAAAATTGGTGAACTGATTCTAAAGTTCAACAGTAAGAATAATGATGGAGGATAGTCTCGAATATTTTGAAAAAGAATAATAACGACGGGTGCTTCTCCTACCAGATAGCAAACATACCGTAAAGCTAAAATAATTAAAACAGGGTATAACGGATGTGGGAATAGATCACAGACAAATAGAATCACAGACAGTGATAAATCAATAATTTAGTATTTGATAAAAATTGCATTTATAGTCAACAAATATGTGACAACTGGCTTTCCATTTGGAAAATAAATAAGGTTACATTCTTACCTACGCAAAAATAAACTCTGGGTGAAGTAAAAACAAACACCAAAATAATTACAGTACCAAAACAGAATAGAAAAAGGATCTTATAATATTGAAATAAAGATGCCTCTCCTATGCATGGCACAGATGGCAGAAACCATAAAGAAAAAGTTAAACCAAACTGAACTGACACATAAAAATTAAAAACGGCCTATGGTGAAAGACCCCATAAACAAAAGCATCAAACAGACTAGAGCAAAATATTCAACTGAATGGAAAAACAGGCAAGATGATGACCAGTAAATTGACAGAAGAAATAAAATCAGTCCATAAAAATATGAAAAGAAAATAAGTTTCATCAATGATCAAATAAACAATTAAACAACAAACATACTCTCATTTTTGCTCATCAGATGGGCAAAAGAAAAACCAAATTAACGATATCACATTATTGGCAAAGATGTAGAAGAACAGTCACTGTCATTCACTGTAGTGAATATCAAATTGGAATAGTCGTTTGGGAGAGCACTTGGATACTACCTATGGAAACTCCAAAAGCACGTTCTGTGATCCAGCAATTCCACTTTGAGGCGTGTATCCTATGGAAATACATAAGTGCACTTTTACATGCACATACAACACATGTACACACATGTGGGGATTTCCATTGCAGTATCACTTGTAATTTATATTTTTACATGGCAACAACCTAAAGGTCCATTAATAGGGGAATGCTTAAATATATTCTGGTTCATCCAAACTTTGAAATCTTACAAAGCCATTACAAGACATACGGACTGATAATAGAAAATGTCAATAACAGATTGTTTAAAAGCTAGCTGCAGGATAATATACAGAGTATAATTCCATTTTTGAAAAATACAATACCAACACAAGCTAGATGTGTGTGTTTTCAGGGACATCAACACACAGGCAAAGGGCTGGAAATGCATAGACCAATCCGACAGTGGTCAACTCTAGAGAATGGGTTTTAGGGTAAGACGTGATGGATCGGTAAGCGGAAATACTCGATTTTTACTTTATATACTTCCATCTCTAATCTTTTTCTTTTACAAGTACATGATATTCTTATATTGAAAATCATTTTAGAAGATAAAAATAAAATATATCTTCTTGTGAACATTTTCATAACTACAGAAAAGTATAAAGCAAAAATTAAAATTAGGTGAAACCACCCCAGCCAAAGACACATCATTGACATTTTTCTCCATTTTCAGACAGGCTTTTGCAAATGCACACACACGTTAAAAACTCAATCTCAGAAACATAATTTTGGATGTTTGTGTAAGATTCTTTATGATGGATGCTCCATACAGTATTTAGTCACACCTTTTCTGCTGGATATTTAGGTTATTTCCAGTTTTCTCCCATCGTTAATATTGTTGACCTAGTCATTCTTATTTGTAAACTTTTGGTTACATCTTTATTACTTTTCCTCCTCAGGAAGAATTCCTAGAAGCGGAATCACACAATTTAAATAGATACACTTTCTTGCATGACTTGCTGCGTATTGCTGAAATGGTTGTACACTTTAGACTTCTACAGACAGCTCACGAGAGTGCCCGTTCCTGCCATCAACCCCCTGGTCCCGTCGCTTTGAATTCACTCGCCAGTTTCACAGGCGATCTTGGTACCTGGTGGCTGTGTGAGCAGCCCTCCCTCCCTGTCCCCGAGGCGCGGGCGTTGGCGGCTGCCCCTTCTCCATCCTCTAATCTGGCCTCACACCAGTCTCCTATCTGAAGCCATTTTTCCAAAACACGAATACGACTCTGACAATCCCCTACTTTAATCCCTCAAGGATTCCTTCTGGGCACCAGGATAAAAGACTACGCTCCAAGATCCACAGCTGCGGTCCGCACCCGCCTGCTCTCCCCCGTGCCAGAAGCCCCCTGCTGCGCCTGCGCACCTCACTCCTGGGTTGGCCTGGGCTGCTCCCTTGTCCGGAGCGCCTCCGTCCCGCTCCCCTCCATCTGTAAGACCAGACTGGGCAGCCCCCCGCCCAGCTTTCTGCTCCTAAGATGGCCCAGGGGTCTGTCCCCACGCCTGGACATGACCTCCATGGTTCAGGCCCACCCTCTCTGCGTCGCCAGGCTTGGCCCCAGTAAACATTTAGGAAGAGCTGAGGCGTCCAGGTCCTTGGGAGGAGACCAAGCCAAGCCCTTGCTCCCTTCTCTGGAGGCCTTGCAGATCACTCCTTCTCTGGGGCCATTTTGTTAAACAGGCCATGATGATGTGGTCACAGTATTCAGTCCTGGGACTTCTTACAGTCCTGGGACAGTGCCCACATACTGTGTAACCTTGGGCAGGTCGCCTCACCTCTCTGGGCTCTTCTATCCTCATTGGTAAGATGGGGATGACTGTGGGCCCTGCCTTGTGGGGCCACTGAGAGGGAGATTCTGTCTCGAAAATTAGTGCCTGGTGGGCATGTCGTGCCCCCTCCTCCCTGTTTCTGCCCTGCCTGGAGGGCCAGGCTGAGACAAGGGAGGCTCTGGCTTTGGGTACAGAATTTAAGGGGTGCTGAAAACTCAGTCACCAAGATAAATAATATTTTAATACAATATTAAAAACTGAAAATCAATGCAAACAAGTCCACGCCAGACAAAATGTCCCCATGTTAAATCAAGCCCGTGCCTGCCCAGGCTCTTCCTCTGGGCTGATTCTCCCTTTTGGCCCCTCTCCCCTCACTGTGGAGCTCCCTTTCAGTTGTGCACTCCTGGCTCCCATCAAAGGGAACCTGTGCACCCCCATCCCTCCAGTGACTCCTCCGGCCCTTACCTGTCTCACAGTCTCCACAGGCTGGATGGGCTGCTTCCTGTTGGGGGTCCTGCCCCGTGGTGCTGCCTTCGGGGCAGGAGGCCGTGGGCGCCCATGGCTGGGCCTAGCTGCATGAGGGGCCTGCATTGCCTAGGGCCAGGGCTCTGCCTCCCTGGGGCCTCATGGACCACTTGGCATGTCTCAGGCCTCATCTGCCCTCAGGGTCAAAGGCATCTCTGGCCGACTTGCTGCATGGGCTCCCTGGACAGGGTGTCAGCAGATGCCCCCACCCCGGCATCCCTCTTACTGGCAGTGGCCATGCCAGTGTGCCCTGGCCTGTGTGGCCCTGTCTTCTGCCTGGGCCATCTCTGGTCCCTGCCCCAGTGCCCGGCCCCCTCCAGGGCCCATGGCTGTTACCTCTGGGGAGCTC